TTACCGTAAGTTGGGTACAAAGGTCCGGGTAATTATTCAAATTCGTCGACAGTGGGATTTGAACCCCAGACCTCTTGTATGGCGGTCTGGCAACCTAACTACTACACTAAGATCGCCAGACCTGCCTATGACTATTTATAAGATCTCATAAGAGATAATACAGATATAACTCTTGCTTCATCTTGTTGGCTCTTTAGAAAAAAAAAAATTTATTTAACCTTTTATACAAGATACATAAAATAAGGCTAGAAGAAATTGTTAGAAATAAAATGAGATCTAGAAAAGACATATAAGAAATATGACCAAGTTATAATATGAACTAAGCTAAGACTTAAACCTAAGACCTCTAATCAGCATATAATATAAGCATTAATCAAATGCTATCTTGTTTGGCTCAAGGTGAAACTCTGTTGAAAATCTTATTAAATCTCTAGATTTAGATAGTGAGAGTTTAGTCATTATAACTTAAAGATTCCTCTTCTCTCAAATACTCAATTTAGTTATATTGAGTAAAAGCCCTAACTGTAATTCTCTTGTATAAAAAACCTTATCATTTATCTTTAATAAAGAGAGTAATAGTATTAAATAAAAGTAGGATTATTGTTACCTTAAGTTTAATAAACCATGTCTAGTACTGTCCTATGCATTATATCTGAAACAAGTCTTACATTGCCAAATCGAATCTGCTTCTAATATCGCTTCAGGTATTATTGTTGCTATATTTTGAATGATTAGAGTTGACTAGTTTTGCCTTCAATAGTATATACCAGTTTATATAATTAACTAATCAGATCGCAGGATCTCTGTATAATGAATATAAAGAAATTTTTAAGAAAAATTAAGAAAAAAATTAAAAATCGCTAATATCTTAAAATTTTATTTTGAAAACTTGCTTTGTGTTACTAAGTAAAAGTTTTTAGCATCTAATTTTACATATAATATTTAACTCTAAACCTAATATAGTGCTCACTCTAATTTTAAAAAAATATTTGATCTTTTAACTATATTATCAAAATAAATTTAACTTAATTTTAAATTTTTATTTTCTTAAATAGAATATCTAGTAATTTTCTTTTTAATAAATTTCAACTAATTAGCAAATCTAACAATTTTAAATTAATTATTTTATATTTGCTAGTTGATATATTAGCTTCTACAAACTCTTTGTTTAAGGCAAAAATACATGAGTTAAGTAGGTATTTAATAACAAATTTGGAATATTTATCTTTAGATTCGTCACTCTCACTCTCAGATTCTTTAATTTTAGATTTAATATTTTTATATTTATCACTTTTAGAAATGTCTTTTGGTTAATTATAACTTATACTTAACTTGATTTTACTATTATAAATTGTTGCATTATTGCTATACAGAGGGTATTCAAATGACAATGTTATTAATGAGTTAATCAGCAACTTTTCTGAAATATTAATTGATACACTTTTTTTATCATACACAATATCTTGATGCACCATACTTAATACAAATAATTCTCGAATTTGTATACTATAAAAGTTAATTTTATCTAGAAATCTGACCAACATCCACATAATTTGAAAGTCATTTGAATCTATATTTCTATTAAATAAATATTATAAAATAATTAATAATATATATATTGTACTAATCTTAAAACTTTTATTTACTTACTCTATCTTATTAATATTTTTAATTTCTGCAAAAAATCCAGTTCTACTTTTAGAATGTATTTTTACTATTTTATCAATTAGCTGCTTATTTGCACCTTTAATAACTTTTACAAAAATCTTATAGTTACGACTTTTAGATGAAAAGAAAAATCTATATGATAATACTTGTTATTTTTATTAATTTGTACAATTCCTGTTATCAGTATCTTTCTTTGGTTATCTATTGCTAAAATTGATTAAATTTTATTACTAATTAATTCTTTAAATATTTCATATAATAGAAGCAATTCACTACGATTAATAATCTCTAATAATTTAGAATGTTCAATTAACTATTTTTTAATATCATTTATTCTAATCAATTTTCTATCTATTGAAATCAAGCTAGATTATATCAAACCAATATTTCTTTAGTAAATATTATCTAATTTTTATGTATAATTTTCAATTTCTAGTTTAAATATTAAATTCTGATCATTAGAACTCAGTAGTTTTTGTAATAAAATGCATAATTTATATAATTTTTGTCCAAGAATAAGTTTCAAAATAATAAATATCCAAACTTGTTAAATATCTTGATTAGCTCTTAATATAGTTGCTTATTCTTTAATACATTATCTACTGCTATTTTTAACTCTTCAGTTAGTTTAATAGTCTTTTTTTTTAAAATTTAATTCAATCTTTGAAAATTTAGTTTCAAAATAAATATTATTAAAAAATAACTTGTTCTTATCATTAATAAAGTTTATCAATTGCATCATAATCTTAATTAACTTTTGTGGCAATGACTGAAAAGAAGTAATATCTATGTAATTCTTTAACAAAAATAATTCTTCTACATCTTTTGGTGATGCTAATTTTACATGACATATTTTAATAGTTTCTTCTCTTGTTTCTAGTTCAAAATTAAATGCTTTATTTACTGTAGCACATATTTTTTGTAATCTAATAACAAGGCTATGATCTAATTATGATATTTTACAGTATCTTCGAGAAAATTTAATTGTAATAATTAATCTTAAGTATAAGTATAGCAAATTGTTTTTAGTTATATATAATAGTTAAAAGTAAATATACCTTCTTGATGTATTCTTTGTTCTTCTTGGTTTGGATTTATTATTTCTGTTTTTTCTTTTATATAAGCTTTTTTACAAACAAGAGATTTTAAATCTCTAGTTGCTCATTATTAATATACATTATTATAAAAACAAACAAAAATAAATATATAACAATTAAATCATGCATTACATTATTGTTATGCGATAATTTGTTTGTTGCATGTATATTTATTCTAATGTGGAAATCAAGTAAAATAGCATTTAAATAATTAACAATATATTCTATGTCTAGGCATTTTTCAATTACTAATTTATAAAAATTCTCATTAGAAAGAATTATTTTTACTTCTTTAAGTCTGTTGTCTTTTAAAAATTTAAACTATATAGTTATAGCTACATGTAAATCTTACTCTTTTTTAGTTTTAATAAAACAATACAAAAGTAGAAATTCTGTTCTATTTACTATTTTATTAATATATAAAGTTCAAACATTAACTAGTTAGTATTATATATAGTATTTACTATAATTATTTTATATAATAATTTATTAAAAAAAATAGTTATAAAACTAAATATATATATTAGCTTATTTAAATAAAGTATAATCTTATAATCTTTTTTATTTAAAAATAATTTAGCAAATTAATATTAATTATTATACTATTAATAAAATACTAATATTTTATAAGTCAACAACTCTCCCTGCTGATTACTTAAACTATTATAGAGCAAAAATTTTTTTATTACAAAATAATTTATAACTCTAGGAAATCTAGTAAAATAGTAGTTATTAAATAGAAGTGTGAATTGTATAGTCTAGTATTCTTTATATAAGAGGCAGAAAGACCTAGTAAATGATAATACTATTATTTTAGCTAAAAGTTTATATTATAGCATTTTAAAGAAAAAGGGGAAGAAAAGAAGTAGTAGAGAGGAAGAAGAAACAACAAATAGTATTTTGCACTAGGGCAAACACTCTAATACTTTTTTTCTTTATAACTAGTTTTTGCAAATATTCTCCTCTATCCTTTGACTAACAAAATTGATATAACGATTATAGCTTTTTTATTTTGAAAAAAGTAGTGATTCTGGCTCACTTCTAATAAAAGATCAGTACTTATACTACTTTCTATTTTTAGCAAGTTATATCTTGATTGTTTATAAGTTAATTAATATATATGAAGCCAATATAGATCTGCTTATATAAATAGAATAATAGCTAATGAGAAGTTATACTCGAGATTTATAGTATATATATTAGTACTATAAATAATTTTTATTTTTTATACCTTAGCATGAGCTATAATAGTGTGTTCTATCTTAATTATTTTTTTTTCTACCTTCTTTTTCTTCTTTTATTTTATTTTGTATATTCTTTTTTTTTTTTTTTTTTTTTTTTTTTTTTTTTT